CATGAACCTTTCCACTGAGTTTGCTTCTGCGACAAAAGGCCTATGATCAAGAAGACTGTGGTCCTAGTAGTTGTCCCTATAGTTATGTTCAATGGCATAATTCCCTTAACTGAAGTTGCTCCTCTATTGAAACTCGTAAGGATGACTTCTGTTGGAATCATGTCACCCTCTGTCTTTGCAAATTTCCTCACCATCCTAGATGGAATGGTGTTTATAGCTGCTCCATTGTCAACAAGCACTTTTGCCACAGGGATGCCGTTAACTAGAGCTTTAACGTACAATGGCCTCAAGTGTTTAGTCAATTTCATGCCTGGCCATTTAAAAATAACCTTTTCGGTAGCTTTTATTTCTACTTCCTGCTTGTTTTCTGTCGAATTATCCATCTGTGATAAGTCGACGTGCAGCATATCGTGCTGAGCCTTTATCTCCTGAATTTCCTCCTTACTGTTTTCTAATGCTTCTTCATCAGTTACCCAACCTGTGGGAAGGGGCATTATTCTTGGAGGTGATCCATACTTTTCAGAGCGATGCACTATCTTCTTCCTTTTGGGCGTCCCGTACAGTACGTAGAAATCGAAAGGACGCCCAGATGGTTCTCCCAACAAATCTATTTCGCGAACTCCCTCTCGATGTAGTTGCTTCAACAGAGTATTGTCCGATACTCCTCTCCTTCTTCTTTCTACTTCTAGGTCGATTTCTTCTTCTATGTCTGTCATCCCGTCGTCTTCTTCATCATTGTAGGCCTCTCTAGAAGTCTGACCTTCTTCACATTCCAGCACGCAAGCCTTTCCTTCGTTGTCCTTCCTTTCTTCTTCTTCTTTTCCTTTATTCTTGAATTCATTGACTAGTAAGTAATTATTAGCCACGACAAGAGGTAACGTATCGAACTGGATAGTAAGGGGCTGATCTGGATCTTCTCCATCCCTTCTGTCTCGCTCAAACTTTGATCTCCTAGAAGAAGTTTCTGTTAGCTCTTTCATTGATTCATCTGTACCGGTCTTTTCACTATCTTTGAGAACATTTTGATTGGCTACCTTGAGTAGTTTAGGTACTTTAGGATGTGTCACTCCCTATTGCTGCCTCATCATTCGTCCATAGTTTCGTTGGAAATGCCTTTGTTGGGTTCTAGTCATCTCATCGAAGGATATTGTTCTTCCTACATTATACTGGAACGAATGCCATACATTTGGCCGGCGAGGTTGCGGTCTAAATGTTCTCCCATTATCTATTGGCTTGAACTGCCTCTCCAAAGGCGGTCCTTTATAGAATGATGTACCTCGCCCTCTACCAGGCTGAGTGTTTAGGAAGAAAGTAGGGCGATAGGGATGCTGCCATATCCCTGGTTTCTCCGTATTCCCACTCACTTCTCTTTTACATCTTGCACACAGGACGTCTTCGTCCTTTTTTGGCTCCTTCCCCTTGATTCGTTCAAAGACACTGGGATGTGGTCTAGGGGTCCTCTTCTCTATCATCTATGACCAACTTGAATTTTGACAACTTGTTTTTGAAACCAGACGTCACCATGTTCACTCCAAGTGGCTGTGGAAAAGGATTTTCATCCACTGCCATCTTCTTCTTATCGTCGAACGTAATTCATCCCGATTCAATGGCATCCTGCAATACATGGCGAAAAACCAAGCAATTGTTAGTCAAATGTGACCATGCATTATGCCACTTACAATATTTTTTTACCCTTAATTTGTTCAGGGTTTGGTAATTTATGCTTATCGCTCAACTTTATCTGCTTATCCCGATATAATTTATCAAATATAAGGTCAGCTTTGGTTACATCGAACGGGAACATTCTAGCCTTTATGTTTCCATCTTTCATGGGCTCATCTTTGCCCGATGGTCTAGGTTTAGCCATTATAGGACAAGTATACGTGTCTCCTTTGACCAATTCGGCCAAACACATTTCGACTTGATCGTATGACTCGTCGTTGATGGTATGAACGTCAAAATTTGGGTCTTTGTAATAAGTCTCTTTACTAGAATTTTTCATCTGCTCTTCCTCTCTTATCAGTCGTTCATACCTAATCACATTCGCACTCAATTGGAAAAGGTTAGGAAATTCCTTGTCCTGAAATTTCTTTTTTAAATCAAAGCTCAAACAACCATGAGCGATTTTGACGAATTCTTTTTCGAGTAGAGGTACAAAACACTTGCTTCTTGCTGTCTTGAACATTTGGAGAAAACTTTCTGCCAATTCGTTTGGCATTTGACGTAGATTCGCCAAATCAGTCAAAGTGACTTCAGACTCAGTTTTATAAAACTGAGCGTGGAATAATTGTTCCAATTGTTGCAATGTTTGAACAGAGTTCGCTGGCAAGTTGATGAACCAGGAGAAAGCTGCCCCTGTTAATGAATTAGGGAAAAGCCTCATTTTATGGTAATCAGTTACATCACCACTTTGCAATGTGAATCGCCCTATGTGTTCTAGAGTAGACACCTCCCCTAAACCGATAAACAGTGAGAATTCTGGCACTTTATGCCCTCTAGGCCATGGATATGCTTGGTCTACCCAATCAGGATATGGCTTTGTGTAAGTTGGCCTAATGACAGGACGCATCCCAAAAGCCATCTGATCCTATACGATTTTCATAATCTGATTCCTCAACATGACGTTGGGGTCATATGAAATTCCTACAGGTTGGTTAATCGGTTGATTTGCATGAGGCCTTACGTTTGGTCCTTGATTGGCAACAAAGTTACCATGATTTGGGCCATTACCATTAGCCTGAACATCTATCCCCTCATTAACATGTAAGATATTCTGTCCATTGTTTAGGACATTATCTCTTACATTTGGATTACCTCCCAAGTTAGGCGTACCACCACCATTGTTCTGATTTGACATTGCACCACCCCGTTGCTTTGAAGTAGAGGGACCAAAAAATGGTTCTATCCCTTGATTCGGATTTGGGACTGAGGGATTATGTCCCACAATTGTCCTAGTTTGAAAGTGATTTGCAAGAGGCATAATCGGTTGACATATTTGGCCTACTAACTTATTCATTATTTCGTTCAAAGTATTTAGTTGTTTGGCCATGTTGTCATAATATGCATTCCTATTTTGGGTAAATCTTTCCATATTATGAATATTTCGAAAATTTACCTGTTCAACGACATCTTGTGTGAGTTCTCCAAGTCGTGCACGCATGGTTCGAGGACTCAACTCTGTCATTGGTTCGTAACGACTGTTACTGCTCTGATTCTGTCTATCTGTTCGTGGAAAGGCATGCTGCTCCTCATATCGCTCGATCACAGACTGGACTCCTCTCTGACTTGTTGCTTCCTTATCGGATCTCTGAGGCATATTGTTTCACCTTTTGTATTTTCAACACCAAACACCAGTGTCCCACTGGGCGTGCCAAATTGTTTCGCGCGGGTTCGTCGCTAACAATTAAAAAGAGATTAGACGATTGTGTAAGGAACAAACCTCTTGAGACAAAGTCCCAAAAAAGGGTGTTCTTTATTGGCGATGACTTTACAATCGGAAAGTAAAAGCAGAATGCCTCAAAGGGGCGCAAGCACACGAGTTACTGAAAAAAGTGTTTAAATCTAAATTAAGAAAATTAAAATTACATGTTCTCTGTTCGAGAGTTTTTTGATTCGAGGTCTTTTGCTTTATGTCTTTTCTTCCTTTTATACTCCCTGAATGATCTCTTTGTGATTAACCGCCTAAAAACTGCTTGATCGTTCTATAACTGCCCACTTTCCTCGTAATGGCCAACTTGTCATGGAACTGCCTTTTCTAACTGTTGTCATTACTCTTTGTCGTTCAACCGTCTTCAATTGAATTCCTTGAAACGTTGAACGTGATATGGCTGCTTTAATAATTGCTTTGATAACTGCGCTTCTTGATAATCACAACACTTCATGTTTGCTAAGACCTTGGGTGACTCGAAGGTTTGGACGAGAATAGAGTAGCAGTTCTGGGCGACTGCATGGCACTCCATTCGCTCAGATCTTGGGCGACTTGCAGGCTTGGACGATGGTGTTACTGCGTTCAAGGGCCTCCCTATTTGGGCCTTCACCTGAATTGTCTGATTGGGTTTCGTTCTTTGGGCTATCTGATTTGGGGATCCTCCAATTAGGCTTTATTTCTTGGGCCGTTCGATTTGGGCTGAATTTTTATGTGTAAATAGATTTTTTTCAACAAAAGTGGTTATTATTCTGATTACTTGGATCCAAATATTCTTGCTCCCGTTCATTGTTTAAGCCGTGTCCAAATAATACTTTTCGATCGTTGACCGACTTGATTGTCGGAGTGTTCGTGATCGCCTTCTCCAACGTTGAAAAATGCTGCATGCACTAACCTTTTTTTGAGTATGCAAGAACCTAACTCCTAACACACGGACGACAGTAGAGTAGGGATCAGCTAGCCACGTGTTTTCACTGAATTTCGAGGTCACTAGAAGTCCCCTTTTTTTCAACTACGACTTCATACCAAAAATAAAATATAACTGCAATAGCCTCTCATGAGAGCGAAGATCTTTGGTTATGAGTTCAAATCCACCTATCAACATTTTCTCGGTCGAACCTGTCGCACCTGACTTTTCTAGTGCTGTTTACCTGGATGTCGTGGTTTGCAAGCTATTGCGTCAGTCCGAGGATTTATTCGGTGTGCATTTGAAGGGTAGTGGTTATGGGTTCCCTGTTATAAAAAAATAAAATAAAATAAAATAAAAAATAAAATGCAATATACCTTAATCTGCATTAATCCTATTCATTCTAGTAAGGTCTAAAAAATGCGATAAAATACCGAACTTTCTCTTATAAAAATACAAAAATATCTCTATAGTTATTAAATAATAAAGAAATTTAATAAATGTCAGAAGTTCTTTGAAAAGACAAATATGATTTAAGTTATGCGCAAAAGCAGGATGAAAATCAGAGGCAAAAATGATTGGATGGTCCGCATACAATTCAGCTTGTCGAAGAACAAGAATCTAACAAACTTTTTAAAAACTAAACAAATCCCTTTACAAACAAAAACAAGAAAAGGAGCCTCTCAAAGACATTTGGGGAGAAAATAAATAAGAAAATAAGAATCTACAAGAGAGAAAGGAGAATTCCTCAGGACCTCTTTGAGGTCCAAAGATCGATTACATTTGTAGAGGAGGTTGGTTTTGGCTTTTGAATATTGATTCAAAACAAGAAATTATGAGTCAAAAGGGGAACAATGGAGACAAAAAGGAAGAAATGGTTGCAGTGGCAATCGACAAGGACAAAGGAAGCCAAGCTGCATTGAAATGGGCTGTTGATAATCTTCTCAGCAAGGGTAAACGTGTTACCCTCATCCATGTCAAACAGAAGACATCTATTGCTGTTGCGAGTAATATTCTCTCGCTCTCTCATTTTTTTTTTCCAAATTAGTAAAAATAATAATAATAGATCATCGTCAGCCATGATGGTGGATCCACTAAGGTGATTCTAGACCGGCTTTTAGCATTTTCAATGCGTGATCGGGGAGAGACCATGTTTGTACATGCAAGAAAGTTTGAAATCCTATCGAGACGAACCTTCAATGCTTTATACTGTCAAACATTTGACATGCATGTTAAGATTGGAGATAAACTCCAATAATAAACATTACATTGTATGCATGTCTGATATTTGTCATAGACTAGGGAAAAATAGGATTGGGACACGAAAATTTCGACCCTTGCTTTATTTCCTTGGTCTGAATAGGACATTATTCAACTTGGGACTAATTCATTTGATAATCAATTGAGCAAAATACTTCTCCACATATAGATATCTCTCCCTTAAATCTCATGGGCATTTTCTCTGATTTTGCTTGTGGATTCAGTGGGAAGTCAAGCTTCTTTATGTGACAAAGGCGACGTTGCAAACACATATAAAGGTCCAACGGATAGTATAACCAAGGAGATGTTCCTTCCCTATCGTTGCTTCTGCACCCGTAAGAATGTAAGAACTACCTGTTGAAACACTTTATCTAAATCGTTTAACAGTAAGAGATGTGACATTTATTTATTTAAATTTAGTCTTCAACATGTCTATTCACGTGCACAATTTTCATGAATGGATAGTACCAACACTTGAACCACCTCGTCTAATAGATTATCTGCTATCATGTCGGCTCGTTTCAACTTTCATGTCCAGATATTAACTGTACTATATACTAACTATAAAAGCCTTTGTTAAAATGAAAACAGATAATAGTTACCGAAATTGTTTTGGAAGATACAGACATAGCAAGAGCCCTTTGTGACTATGTTAAGAACACCTTGCTCGAGACTTTGGTGTTGGGTGCTCCTTCAAGAAGTAGCTTTGTGAGGTATATATTTAGCTGTTTCAATTCATTACTATACATTGGAAATATCACTTACAATTATTAAACCCAGAAGATTCAGAAGTGTAGATGTTCCAAGCAGCGTTTCAAAGGGGGCGCCAGAGTTTTGCACCGTATATGTTATATCGAAAGGGAAAATATCAAATGTGAGATCTGCCTCCATTGCACTCCCCAACCAACCTCCTCGTCCGTTGCAGAATCAAACTAGCCTTCCTCTCACTTCAACTGATCCACGTCCATTGCAAAGTAGTACACGAGGTTTGCTTTAGAAACATGTTTGGTATTCTGTATTGGATGCGACTAAACAACTTAAAAGAAAAACAAAAGATTTAATATCTTATGATTATAGTGTCCAGTCCTATTCGATCTTTATACAACTTTGAAATTACTACGGAAAGTTAAATTGTCTTATCTCAACAGGTAATTATGTCGATAAGGTGCCATTTTCACCTGTAACTACAGTGGATGACAAGGATTCAATCAAGTAAGTTACTGGTAGATTTATATAAAAAGAAGTAATAGAGATATTAACATGAACATATCGGATTGGACAGCACGTGCCTAGATTAAGGAAGAAAAAGAATTTCAATTTTGCACGTTTGTTTTGTGTAGTGGTTATCTAATACTACGTATTAAACATGTTAAAAATGTTTTGAGCGAGCGAAAATCATGAATAACTCAAACTACCTTACTTTCACAGGTCACCATTCACTAGAAGTAAAGTTTCAAATAGATCATACAGTGAGTTGTCGGCAGCAGTTACTGATATATCATTTGTGAGCTCTGGAATGCCAAGCACAGATCGCACAACCGCCTCATTCGATAGCCAGGAAATAAATATTGTCCCTCGTCTATCCAATAGCTCTGACACGGACGGTCGACTAAGTTTTGGATCTCCGTTCTCTGGATCCCGATCATCTGATCCAAATAGTAGTTTTGGAGTCTTTTCATCCAGCTCTCTGGAAAGTGGAAATTTTTCGTGGTCAGGATCCCAAAACTTGGTATGTATATAAAAATACCAAATATGAAATTTATGAACTTAAAATCGTTGGTCCAAGAAAGGATATGAAAACATGAAAATCACTAGTATTATCAGCAATTGTTAATCACGAGGCATTGCCCGGTTCAACCACAATGCACAAGATGTCTCTACAAGCATATGTTGGTCGTTACAGCAATCATTTTTTGCTGCATTTGTTATAAGTTAGAATAAGTAACAAGCTTTGTCATATATCTAAGATTTCCCTATGCACTAAAACAGAATCTTGAAAATTAAGTAGTGAAAATTCTCGTAATGTTTTCATTTGACAACTTTTAATGATATGCAGTCTGTTCATGTAAATGTATTGTCTCAATTCTGTAGGACGAGGTAGAAGCAGAGATGAGAAGGCTGAAGCAGGAGCTTAAACAAACAATGGAGATGTACAGCTCAGCTTGCAAGGAAGCATTTACAGCAAAACAGAAAGTAATAAGTCGAAATTCTGAAGATTAAATAACAAAAGGATGTAAAGCATAAGTTTGATAATAAAACTTTTCGCAGGCATTGGAGCTTCACCGCTGGAAAGCAGAAGAACAACAGAGACTAGAAAAGGCACGACTGGCTGAGGAAGCAGCATTAGTAATTGCAGAGAAGGAGAAAGCAAAATGCAAAGCAGCTCTTGAGAAGGCTGAAGCAGCACAGAGGATAGCTGAACTTGAAGCGCGGAAAAGAATCGATGCTGAAACAAAAGCTCTCAAAGAATCAGAAGAGAGGAGGAAAGTACTAGATAAACTGGTCCACAATGATGTAAGGTATCGCAAATACTCAATAGAAGAGATTGAAGCAGCAACAGACCACTTCTCGGAATCTCACAAAATTGGGGAAGGTGGTTATGGGCCAGTTTACAAGTGTTACCTAGATCACACACAGGTTGCTGTAAAGGTTCTCCGTCCTGATGCGGCCCAAGGACGATCACAGTTTCAGCAAGAGGTATGATGCTCCTAAACATTCAATTGAACTTGTAATATTACCACCTTCTCTCTTGGCACGAGCTTGTGCACCATTGGCCTGTTTGGTAGACAGTAGTAGACAAGACTAAACACCAACCATGATGCAGGTTGAAGTTCTGAGTAACATTCGACATCCCAACATGGTTCTCCTCCTTGGAGCATGTCCCGAGTATGGTTGCCTAGTCTACGAATATATGGCAAATGGGAGCTTAGATGATCGTCTCTTTCGGCGTGAAAACACTCCAGTGCTTCCATGGCAACTCAGATTCCGAATAGCTGCAGAAATTGGCACTAGCCTGCTTTTCCTCCACCAGACCAAACCTGAACCTCTTGTACACAGAGATCTGAAACCAGGAAACATTTTGCTCGACCGTAACTTTGTAAGCAAGATCAGTGATGTCGGCCTAGCCAGGCTTGTCCCTCCTAATATTGCCGACTCTGTTACACAGTACCATATGACATCTGCAGCCGGGACTTTCTGTTACATAGACCCCGAATATCAACAAACTGGAATGCTTGGAATAAAGTCTGATGTTTATTCTCTTGGAGTTATGCTTCTTCAAATGATAACAGCTAGGCCTCCAATGGGATTGACACATCATGTCGAGAGGGCTATAGAGAAAGGGACTTTTGTTGATATGCTCGATCCAGCCGTTCCCGATTGGCCTGTAGAAGAGGCCTTGAAGTTCGCCAAGCTAGCTCTTAAGTGCACAGAACTGAGGCGCAAAGATAGACCAGATCTTGGCAGTGTGGTATTGCCTGAACTTAACATGTTGAGAGCACTCGCTGAAGAAACAATTCCAAACATCACATTGAGTAATAGTCCACAGGGCAACCTAAGTCAAATCCAATCTAGTTCTCGAGTGAGTTGATCATGTAAATAAGCTACATCATGCATGAAAAAACAAAACAAATCCACAGAATTTCTCCTATTCTTATGTTCTATTATTCGGGAATTGTTATTTTAAAGAGCCCTGTTTTCACAATCATAGTTGAAAAGGCCTACATACATGGTTTTTCGTTTAAAATGCCTTATTTTGTGCTAGAAAAAACAATTTTAGTCTTATAAAATAAGGCTTTCATCACTCTCTTCCCCATCTTACCAGAACCTGAGGTTACGTTTGACGCACCGAACTACATCATATAAAGAAGTAAAAGTAATGTGCTTGCAAAAATCGAACTTTATTTTCTTGTTACATTATTTCCACGATAAATCGATCCCCTTGCCTTCCTACTCGAGAAGAGTCGATTATATCTTTCTACCTTTTGTTTTTCATATCGGTCGAGCCTAAGTTCTATTGCTTTAAAAGCTTCATCAAAATCTCTTCTTCAGTGAGTTTGACATTTGAAGCTTTGGCCTTTTTACATCCTTTGACATCTATGTATTCAAAACAAGACAAAAATCTTTCTAAGTACCAGACACTTACTGGCTTCGTTTGAATCAAGTATATACGTCTTATTAAAATCAAATCATACTAATTCTTTAAATTGAAGTGGTGGTTATAAATATTGATTTTAAGAAGTTCACACCTCCCTAAATATAGTCTAGGTTTGAAATCAGACATTGTCATCTAATCATATTTTAATTTATTTTTATTCTTCTTATTATTTTTTTAAGAATTTTGCCTGATGTACACAAGCCTGTACAGGCACTCACATGCTTAGAGGGTGAGTGATTATTTAAAAAAGAAAAAACAATGCTATAAATACAGATTTTTTTTAAAGAATTTGTACAGAAAAATAATTGTCTTTTTGTAATTGACTATTGCCAAAAACAGTTTTTGACAACAGCAAATTACAGAAAGACAAGTGTCTTCCTGTACCAATTTTGTTAAGAAAAATCTATACTTGCAGATTAATTGTAAAAAAAAATAAATAAATAAATAAATTCACCCACCCGTCATGTATTGTGAGTGGCTTGTACAAGCCGTGTGCATGATTCCTTTTTTTTTTTTTTTTTTTTTTTTTTTAATTTTTTTTG